TTTTACATTTCCCCCTTCTGCCTCTTTTGTTGAATTCAAGACACTAGGAGATGTTTTTAAAAATGCTAAATTGATCTTACCCCACTGGGGGTTACTTTAATGCAATCTTATTTCTCTTTGAGTCTACACACAAAAAAAATGGCAAATGGCGGGGTGGAACAACACAGCTTTCAGCTGGAGGGGGTACCCATAACGGCCCTGTGTTGCTGTTCGCAGGTTGGTTTCTCCTAAGTGAATGTTCACTGGGAGAAAGTTTACCTGACGAATACTCACTTGGTGAGTGATCCGGTTGGCTAGACTCCTCCACAAGCGAGTGTTGCTTGACGGAATTCTGAACCAGCCGGTTTGGCGTTACCTTTTCACTTCCCTCTCTGAACCCTTCTTGCAAAAGGGGATTTTAAGGGACCTGCTAAAAATACTTGCACTCAATCATAGCTGTTCAATTTGGTGATTCATTAAAGAAAAAATTGTACTTGTGTGCCTGGGTGATACATGCACACACGGGCATACATGCGCCTGTTCTTGTAAGCATGTTTGAGCTTAGTGCTTACGTGTACTTAGCACGTTTTCTCATTTTATTGCACTCTGCTAATAGGCTGTAATGCTCGAGCCCTCGAATCAACTGAAATAATTGCATAACCATTTTTGTGTTTTTATTGTGTCATTTGTGTGGTGATACTCGCATGGTATGAGTATATATGTATATATGTGTATATATATATATTTTTTTTTGTTTCATTTACAATTTTCCCCCTTCTCAGGGACATCTCACCTGTGTATGCTTAGCCATTTGAGGACCTGTGACGAATGCTCATGGCACAAGAAAATTCAAACTTTCCCCTTCCGTGCCACCGTTTGGGCGAGAGTTCAGGCAATGCTACCAATTTGTATGAACATATCCGTACGAACTTGTTCTCCTGCACGTGCAGACTTGTGCGGGATGCATACGGACGAGAACCCCGCCAATGGAAGTTCCATTCGATAGGCAAGGCCACCAAAATAAAGAAGCGCTTTTAAGAGCATTTTTATAAGATTAACGCTTCTCAAAAATTCCCACCGAGTTAAAATCTTCCTCCCTAAATGTAATGCAAGTCTGCGTCACTCCGGCCAGTTGCGATAGCTAGCCTTTTTTCCCCTAGGAGGTGCATCGCCAAGGTTGAAGCCCTGGCAGAAATGCAAAAAATAAAACAATAAAAAAAATACTCTATCCGCGCAAACGCCAGGAAGCTAAACGGTGGAGAAGCTAAACCGAGGGGAAGCTAAACAGGACGAGGCGACGCAACCAAATAGCAGTGCAGCACGTAGTAAGTGGAATCGGCGAACCCAACCATGGAAAACTTTTTCACGAAAAAAGTACAAGATGTGTTTGCAATTTTGAAGAGAAGCAACAAGGAGGAGCGAGACACCTCGCATGACGAAACGAAAGAGATTAAATCTGATCAGGGGGGAGAAGATGGCAAAAAAAAAAAGCGTCTCTTCCAAACTGCCAACAGAAAAGGACCCGAGAAAGGGGCCAAAGAGAAAACTCAAAACAATGACGCAGCCGCCGGTAGCAACAAAAAGGAAAACGCGTCCACGGAATCAAGAGATAATGATCCTAGTGTAATTAAAAAACGGAAGTTAATAACACTGCACAACAAGGACAACGTCTACCTAATGGACAATTTTATCAATATAAAAAAATACGGTGAGGGTCATTATACCAGTGGGAGGGACGTGAAAAAGGACGAAGCGGCAGTTCCGGCGACGGCTACCTCTGCTACCATTGTCAGTAGGGCCACGTTAAACACCTCCAGCATTTGCAATTCATTGTCAACCAATAAGGACGAAAGTGACAAGAAAGCCGAAACGCAGGAGGCGCGGCTCATTAACAGCATTGTACAAAGTGCAGGTGGGCTCAAACCGACTCCAGCCGACAACCCCCCAGAGGAAAGCGAAACGGATAATAACCAAAAAAATGGAAAGAATACCAATTTAGTCCCCACGACAAACACATGCACGAAGAAGGAGGAAGAAGAAGAGGAAGACGAAGAAGAAGAAGAAGACGACGAAAGGAACACAAACGAGAAAAAAAAAAACAACCAGAAGGAGGAGCAAAACGATCAAGCACTTTTACGAAGCATGATCGATAAAAAAAGTGAAACGAAAAAAGAAAAAACCAATAATGTCACAATTAAAACAAATAATGCTAACCAAAGAAAGACTTTCCTTTTTGTTAAAGATACCACAGAAGAAGAGAGGGTTAACAGAATTGATGAAATTTTTAAAAACCTCATAGAGGAAAGTAGGAAGAAAGACAAACAGTTAAGCATCCCCGAGAATGGTGGCAGTGCACCTTGTCAGGTAAACGATATTAACAGCCCCGATGGGGCAAGTGCCCTAGATGAAAATAAAAAGGGACAAAACTTGGATGATGAGCCTGAGTCTACGGAAGGGGTGGATGAATGTAAACCTAATGATAACGCTGCTATAAGTAATGCCAATGGTAGAATTGTGACGCAGGAAACGTTAGATAAACATGGCGAACCGGGTGAGGAGGGGCAAAAGGGAGGTTCCCCCACCAATGAGGCGAAACTGCAAAGCGATGAGCCTCTCCAGTGCAACGGCAGTCATGATAGTTTGGGGTCGGCCAAAACGGACAATCCCGTCCCCAGTCGAAGTAGCAGCGTGGGAAGCGGCGCTGGAAGAAGTCCTCATAGGTGCAATGGTAGCCGCGATGGTAGCCTCTCTGTCAGCCCCGGTAAGGAGGACACCAAATCAACTGGGCAGAGCCACGCCGCGGAGCATCCCCCTTTCTGCGGGGATGACAAGAGCACCTCCGAATCTGACGGCGCGACTCCAGGGGAACCCCCCTACGACACAATCGAAACGGATGAGGTAGACAGTTTGAAGATAAAGTTCCCCCAGTTTGCAATGGAACAAAGCAAAAATTTAATAAACGAAACAAATGAATTTTTCAAGATGTATGATTTGAACCTTAAAGTGGAATACCTACCGATGGGCATCTCCAATGATGTGAAATTATTGATGGAAAGAAAAAAAAAAATTGTTTCCATAATTAATGATTATAAAAATGAGTTGAGACAGAGGAAGAATCATTCCATAAAGGAAGAGAAAAACGCAAAGGGGGGGGATCAGCACGAAGGTCACCTGCAAACAATGGTGGAAGCAACATTGGTGGGTGCACTCAGTTCAAAAAAACAGGAAAATGGAGCCACCCCAGGGAAGTATCCACCACACGATGATGACGATGATGATAGTAATGATAATAATAATAGTAATAATAGTAATAATAATAATAGTAATAATAGTAATAATAATAATAGTAATAGTAGTAATAATAATAATAGTAGTAATAATAATAGTAATAATAATGGTGTCTCCCTTGAGGAGTGTCAAAATGTGCATCAACCCACTGTGAGTTCCAGTACGGAGGAAGTAAAGCCCGGATCACCAACCATGGAAAATAAAACCCCCATTAAAAACTTCGAAAAGGGGACTGATCAACACGATGTAGAGTTTGTGCCAGAAGATAGGAACCCTTCTTCCGCCAAGGAGACGGGAAATCATGTACAGGACGGACTTAATGAGGAGAAAGTGAAAAAAGGTAACAACCACCTGAATGGAAGGAAAAAAAGAAAGGGCCAGGAGAAGAAGCTCGAGAAGGGGGTCACCTCGTACGATAACATGAACTACCTGAGTGATGACGATAAGGAGATCGTAGAGAGGGAGCACAGAAATTTTTTGACCCTTTTGGAGAAGATGAATCGGGGTGACTGCGCCGGAGGGGGGGCCAGCTATCCAGATGGAGAGCAGAAGCCGGGAGACACAAGCCAATTGGGTGAAGGAAGCCACTTGGACGAACCAAGCGAAGGAATCCCCATGGACGCTGCACCACAAGTGGAGGAAGCACAAGAAGCAAAAGTAGCCAAAGAAGAATTCATCAAAAGTCTCATGCAGGACCTAACCGAGCATTGCAGCGAAGAAAAAGACTATGAGAAACACAAGCAAATAAAAAACGAAGAAACGAAATTTCAAAAACTGAAAGAAACAATAAGACGAATAAAAATAAAAGAAAAAAAAATCGATGTGCTTCTTTGCAGTAGTGAGAACCTCTTTAAGTACACCAACATGTACAGGCGTCGACAAATTTTACATGAAAAAATGCTAATGAATTGGAGTTATGTACAAAATTTAGTGAATAAAAAAAACGACGTAAGAAATAGGAACCTGCCATTTCAACTACTAGAATTGGATAAAAATTTAACGAAAAATGTACCGAAAGCTTATGACGATATTTTGCTGGACGATTTTTCAGGCATCCTAATTACGTTAAATACAACCTCATTCGAAACAGCTGTGGATGGAAATGCAATTCATGTTAAGAAAATCGTTTGTGGTTGTCTAATTCAGTACTTAGCTACCTCCGAGATGAACATAAAATGTATCTGGGCCCATCCATTTTTGAATACAAAATCGACTTATTACATTTTAAGCGCATTTTTGCCCAGAGTCATTTTAGAGGCATTCCTAAATTATAGGACACCCTCAGAGAAGGAAATTCTTTCCAACGAGTTAATGGATTCTTCCGGTCTTGAGGAAGAACACACAGAGGATGAGACCCCCGAGGAGAGGACCCAATCGAAAAAGGTGAAAAGCTTTTACGATAGGCTACACCAGCTTAGTGAAGGCGAATCAAATAAAGGGAAAACGAACAAGAAGAAGAAGACAGAAAAAAGGAGGGATAGTAATCACACAAAGGAGGAAGATGCTTTTTTTAGCAATTTCTCCATGCAGCAGTACCCCCCAACGTTCTTCCTAAATTTTAGTAAAGACTGTGCTGAGCTTCTACAAAACTTCTATAGCCACCATGTTGAAGCTGAGAGGAAGAGTGAAAAAGGGAGCAGACACTATAGTTACCCGACCTGGGGGGAGAAGTACCCCCTACATGAGGCAGATCTCCCTTGTGAAGAACATGGACAAGATAGCCAACCAGACGGAAAAAACAAATCGGGAGAAAACAAGGCAGATAAGTTTATACACATCCTCTTTAGCGACATTGACATTTTCCCCAGGCAGTGCTACCTTCTTCTGTGCTCCTACAAGTATATGTGCTTAAATATGCACTACGACATGGACTGCTATTCTGTGCACTACGATCTGAATTTAAAAAATATTGAAAAGGAAAATATCGGGAAAAATACCGAGTTGTCCAACGTGTGCCCATGTACGTATGTGAGAGATGTCTCCTCACATACGGAGGACTCTTACCAGCGGATTATCGGTGAGGAAAAAAAAAAAAAAAAAAAAAGGACGCTAGATAGGCACAGGAACCTAATGAAGTTACTGCTTAGATCTTACCGTGCATGTGAACTCTTTTATTTTTTACTTTCCGTTTGTTCCCTTTTTTTCTCTCCACCCCGCAGGATGTAGCGAGCTGTATATGTACTATATGATGCCGAAACGGGAGGAACGCCAACAACTGGGGTTGCTGGAAAGGAACGGGTGGAGAGACTTAATCCCCAACACCTTTGATGAAGACATAAGCGAAAATATTTCCAGCATTGTGCAAACAAGAACCAGCATAAGTAACCTGTATGACCACATATCCATACAAAACAAACAGAATGAAAAGAATTACACCACGGCATATATAAATAAATATGAGTGGTGTGGACTGAGAATACAAGACATTCGGAACATGATGAACGAGGACTTTAATTATGAGTCGCCCAAGAAGAAGTGAGGTGGGACTTGGGATATGCTCCCCCCGGGGAAGGCACGATAGGGGCGGTTAGAAGCATAGGAACATAGGAGCAGCCAGAAGAGCAGCCAGAAGAGCAGCTACCCAAGGGTCAGTGTTGCTCAATCCGTAATTGCCACCCTTTTCCGTAATATCCATCCCCCCCTGACGACACAGAAGCTTCACTTATCACATGGTTTCACTCCACCTTTGCGTTGTTTCCCCCTCTACGTGTGTCAATTTCATCCCCATTTTTAAACGACAAAAAGGGTAGAAAACCAATCCGTTGTGTCTACCTGCATTAGGGTATCCACTCCATTTGTTTTCCCTGTGAAATGTGTCAATCCTGCCGTTTATTTTTAGCCGAATTAAAAGTGTGCGTAAAAAGCGGAGGCGAGGGTAGGGTGAGAAACCGTTTAAATGTTTTCCCCTCCACACGCGTATTTTTAAAATTTCAACACTTTTTGAAAAAGAAAAAAAAAAAAAAAAAAAAAAATTTTGTTTTGCCTAATTATTGACCATAAAACAAATGCGTAGTGGCGGAGTTGTGGGGGTGGAAAAAAGGCGCCATTGGAGCAGAATAAAAGATAACTAAAAAGTTGCAGGGGGTGAGGCACGCACATAATAACAAATATGCGTGGAGCAGCCAAAAATGTCGTGAAACAATTTGGCTCGGCGCTTGCCGCTCCCGAGGTGTCCTCCCCTCAGTGGGTGTACGTCTTCATCTTGTTGTACTCCTCGACGTCGTTCTTTGCCATGAGTTTTACTTTCTTGTATTTTTCCTGATTTCGGCGCATCCTCTCCTGTTCCTCCTTGGCTTTAAGGGCTAGAAGGTAGTTGTTTTCCTTCCTCAGCTGCATAGTGGGGAAAAAAAAAGGGGGGAAATATATAGGAAAAGACACAGGCAAATGGGAAAGTAAAGGGAGGGGGCAGGGCAAATAAGGGCTCAATGGCTAAAGTGTGCTTCCACACACGCCTCCATACACACCTGCAGACAGAGCGCTAAACACGTCGCCAACCGCTCTGCCATTACCTCGTTGTAGTCCAGCTTCTTCTGTTGCTTCATCTTCCTACGCGCGGCCCTCATCTCCGCAAACTTCGCCTGGCCGCTCTGCATGATGAGAAAGTCCTTCGGGTTTCTGTTGTTGGCATATTTCGGCGTAAACATCTGAATGCCACTGTGTTGAAAATTGTGGGAAACTATAGGCGTGATCTCATATGCACTGGAATGCTCCATTAACTTATATGTGTACAACAAAAAGAGGAAGTACTTTTCCTCCTTTCTCTGATACTTCACGAAGGGACTGTCGGCAGCAACCAGGTAATCTTCCCTGACTCTGACACCTCCAAAATCGTCCACAATTTTGGCAAAGTTCACTTCCACGCCGCATTTCTTCATATAACTTAAAAAGTTGATAAATAAAAACAGCAGACAAGGGCGCACTATGTGATTGATCAATATGTAGGCGTTAAACTGTTTGTCCAAATGGGTCTTCAAAAAAAGGATTACATTTTTGAACGTGTCAAAAGAGAGTTTGTAATAGTGATCCTTCTCTTCCATGAGAATCTTCTCATCGGTGTTATTCCTTTCACCGTTGATGCCTCTTCCCCTCTGTGACTTCCCCCCCTCACGCATAATGCCGTACAAAAGGGTGTTTAAAATTTTGAAGGAGAGGTAAAAGAAACTCTGGCTATATTTTTTGCTATTTTCCAGAAATATATTATAAATGTTCAACAAGATGACCGCTTTTTTTAGTTGCTTCTTTTTGGAAAAGATCCCGAGGTCGCTCTGCACATCAGCTCTGCTGTTGCTTTGCGTGCCTGCCAGGTTGTACCTGTTTGCTTTGACCATGTCGCCTTCTTTCACCACCTCTCCCACTTGGAACCGCTTAACACGGAATGCCCGCTCGACATTCTGTATGCATTCTTCCATGCGACTCGCACTGGTATACGTGGCGCTGCTAGAGATGTCGCAGCAACCCCAGTCATCGTCACCAAGGGGCAAATTAGCATTGACCGAATGGAAGTACTTATAAAATATATACTCCACCAATTCGATTAGGAAATCCATTAGAGGAATTCTTTCTTCCTTGTCGATCAGGGGATTCTCCCCTTTCAAATGAGCAAACTTATGAACCATTTTTTCGTCCTCCACCCTATCCCTGTTAATATTTGTTAGGAGGTGTTCAATGGGGGGATTTTCTCCTAAAGCGTCAGCCCCATCATTCTCGAAACGGGACCTCCCATTGCCTTTTCCTGTTTGACTTTGGCGCTTGGTTTGACTCCCCTCCATTGGGTATATAATTAGCGCCAAAAGGATAACCGCAAAGTGGACGTACGATATGGTTACTCCATCTGCAGCGCCGGCCCTATTTGCTAGGCCGTCTCTATCTCCTGTGCCTTCCTCGCCCATCTTGAGATTGTACTCTTCCAAAATGTCACTGAACAAATCGGCACTCTTCAAAATCCTGGAGTATATGTACACATCATACGCCTTACCGTGCGCGGCTTTATTGGACTCTACGTATTCGGCTAGGGTGTTTCTTTTCTTCCTGTAAAATAAATTGGCCTTCCCCCTTCCTTGCGTTTTGCAGAAAACAATCAAAAGGAGAAAAGACATGTACAGATACAACTCCGTTTTCATGGGATGAGAAAAGTCCACAATTATGTCCTTGTAATTCTCAATGAAGTTGTGTAGGCTTAAATCACATTTCAAACATCGGTAAATTTTTAAGATACAATAATCCATTAGCGAGAAAAAAAAAGAAGAATGGGGAATGCTCTTCTCCTTTTTTTTATTAAACATATTTAAATGGTACACTCTGTATAGGATTTTTTTCTGGGAACTAAAATTATGACGATCCAAAAGTGCGATAACATGCTCCAACTGGTATTGTTTTTTTTCTATACAAATATAAGTTGGTAAGTTTTCTCCTTTTTCATCACCTGACTCGTTGGCAAAATGGCTACACAATTCTTTGTTACCATCCAGTAGGAACTTCCCCAGGATTTTGTTCACTCTCTCTTTCGATATGCTCACCACCGTTTCGTCTTTAAAAGGAAGTCTTTTTTTTTTACTAAACAGTTTGTCAATGCTTTCATTGTCGCTATCGTCTGACAGGTACCACACTGAATATTCCTTCTGATTATCCGGCTCTTCCGTTTTCTTTTTTTTTTTGGAAAAGCGCAACTTTGATTCTTTCACTTCTTCGGCACTCTCATTCGTTTCATCACCAAGCAGCTGCGACTTCGACGCATCCTCTTTGAGTTGAACGGATCCGTTTGCTCCCTGGTGTGTTGAGCCCTTGGGGGCATTTCCACGTCCGTGCTGCTCATCCTGGCTGTCCTCTTCTTCTTCCCACCCGTCAGCTTCTTCCGCCTCATGTTCTACTTCCCACCCGTCAGCTTCTTCCGCCTCATGTTCTACTTCCCACCCGTCAGCTTCTTCCACCTCATGTTTTACTTCCTCCTCGGACTTGCCTCCTACCTCCATCTTCATTTGGACCCTCCCGTTCCTGTCTACTCCCTTTTCGCCCCTCCGAGTTCCTTTCTTCATGCGCTCATTTTCGTTCACCAATTGGTCCCGTTGTTGTTCCTCTTCTTCGGCCACACCCAATTCCAGCTTCTTCATTTCCCCGTTACAACTTGGCGCCTTTGTCAACGTCTGGGCCCCCCCCCTTGCGATGTCTTCATTTTGTTTCACGCCCCCCGTTGTTCCAGGGAAAGAAAGGACGCACTTTTTAATCACTTCAAAATGTTTATCAATTTCGCGTAACTTTTCCTTAATTTCGTACTTTTTAATTTTCCATAATTTTTTTTTTTCGATTTTTTCCTGAACAAAGTTATTCACCATAGTGTCACTCTTTCTCTTGCATTTTCGAGAGCCCCCCCCTGACCATTGCTCCTCACTGTCCAAGGAACTATAATCCGAATGATCCCCCTCCCCGTATACATCATTGGCACTGATATGCTTATCTTTTAAAAAGGAGTCATTGTTCAGGTTAAAAATGTTCCCTTTCTTAAACCTCGTGCTGTTTCTATGTCCCTCCTTACTTTTTCTCTTATCAATAAATTTGTTCGTTTTTTTTTCATCTTTGTAATAATTCAGAATGTTCTTGTACCTTTCGCTTGGTTCCCTTTTGGTGGGGAGATTCTTCTTGCAGCTTTTTACTCGTAGGATATTCCTCTTCCGCTTCACTTTGCTTGCTTTGGTGTCAAAAAGGTTTTGCCTCATGATGACGTGAATGGGGCGAAGCGGTGGTGGTGTCGTGAAAGGGGGGAAGGTTTCGGCGTTAACGATTGAGGATGCTTATTACAGGTTGCTCATCCCGTGTGTTGGCTTCTCCCCTCCGGGCTCTTAAACAAAAGTCTGACTTCGCCGGTTGTTTTTCTTCTTCTACCAACGCGATCGCACGAAATCTCATTACCCTTACAAAAATTTACGTGCTAAATGTTGCAAAACTTGGCAATGCATTGATTATATGTTCCCTTCCAAATTAATTTTATAGCAGAAAAGTAGGAAATACAACAGAGCGTACAAAATTGTTGTAGATGAATTTTGCCAATAAAATTTTTTTTGGGCGTCGATTTGAAGTTTAAAAGAATGTTCCGTTGGGAGCCCTTTTCTTTTCCCTGCTTTACTTTCGACACAGGTTTGGCAAAACAAAAAAAAAAAAAAAGTATTTTTATTTAGCCAGTATTGTGAATATTCAATAAGTATACGCTTTGTTAAGAACAATTTTTTTTTTTTCCCCTTTTAAAAAAGAGGTTTGCAAAACCCGACTTGGATTAATATTGCCATAGGCGCCTATATACAGCCGTCATAGAAGACTGCGCAGCTGGGTCCCTGTTTATCTTGTTCATGTTCCCCCTCATATCCACGGGAACAATTTTTAGCCCTATATTTTTATATAGCGTATAAGCATATACTGTGCCCTAAAAAAAGGGGACTTCTCTGTATAAAGGTTAAATTAAATGAAATTCTGCTCACATGGGAGTTCCCCTTTTAAAGGCATATGATGAGAATTTTTCCTTTGCTTACGGAGAAGAGGCGGTTGCATTTATTAGCTACATCCAGCTGTAGGAAAAATTTTCCGTTTTGGCTTCTGCTTGGTTCCGTGAGCTGACTTCGTGTGAAGGGCTTTTAGCCCTTTAGCTCCCCATCCGTTTAGACAACCAATTTCGCAAAAGCAAGTTGCACTGCGTGCACCACCAACGATGTCGCAAACTCCTCGTTTGGTTATTTACTAAAACGAAAGAGAAGCCCCTTTTTTCATGTGACCCTAATGTGGCTTACGTATCGCCAAGCACACCTATGCGCTGGCGCATATTTTCAGATAGCTATTTTAATTCTCAACTTTGGGTTCCGCTCAAAAGTTTAACATTTCTTTTAAAAAATGTAACTGTCATTTGATACATAAAAAAAAACAAACTTCATTAACTACGCCTGAAGTACCGTTACATGGATGTAAAAAATTTTACAAGAAAACGTTTTCTCTAGTAAGATACAAAAAAAAAAAATACTTACAAGGGATAAGTACAAATATGCGTACGTACGAACAAATGGACTGAAGCAAGGTCGTCTACGATTGCACGTGCGCACGTACGTATGAATAAATATATTTGCAAAACGCGGTCGTGCCAGGACACACGGCCGCTCTAAACATGATGAAACAGATTGTACAGCAGAATGGTGTGCGGTTTAAAATTAGGGCGTAATTTTCTTACGGTTGCGCACTTAAACACACGCACGGGGGAGGTATCTGCACAGTTAAGTGCGCACCTACACATTAACATACGTACACGCATGCATGTGAGTATGTGCCCTGCGGTATATATCTTCACAATGCATACAACAGAGGTTGTGGTAACAACTTTTCCGCGTAAGACGCCAGCATTCCTTTCTTCTCAGCCACGTTAACTTTATTTATTTATTTTTTTTTTTTGTCTATTGGTATGACTGGTCATAATTCCAACGTACGAGGCATTCTCATTCTTGCGCTCTTCGTGAAGAGAGCTGTGGCTCCTACCTACAACTGGGGCGTCATCAAGCGTAACACTTCGCACAAAAATATTTTGTTCATACTCTGGGGGTCTGACAAAAACTTCCACTCCATCGTTGCATACTTCTTTTTTTTTCTCTCTCTTCCTTTCCATTGTTCAAAGGATGGCTTCCTCCTAGTTCAACTTTATAATCCCATTAAGAATTAATATAACAATTAGGGCAATCAGGGCTAAAAGTAACAAACCGCACACGCAACAACACATTTTCGTAAGTTGATTTATGGCAATAAGAATGGTTCGCGCAAAATTTCGGGTGCCCTTTTTCCAGCTGCTTACAACAGTTTTGTGAGTAATTTTAATTCGTGTATGAGCGATTTTTGTCCAATGCGCCTTGTGCAGCTATAAGGATTTTTTTCCCTTTCACTTAAAAAGGGTTATCTTAATAAATATATTCAAAGGTTTTGTAAAAATATATATGCATAAACGTGTATATATGCCGAAACTTTGCTTATGAATCTTTTTTTTCTTCTTTTCCTTTTTGTTATATATTTTCTCTACACAAATGTTCAACAAGTTATCTTTAAGGCTAAAATGATATGATGGGACGTACAATGACGGATTAGGAATCTTTTCTGTTTTGGTGTTAAAACGATTTTTTTAAAAAGATGTTTAATTTAAAAAAAGAAAAAAAAAAAAAAAAATTTTGAAAGAACTGTGCAAGAGAGGAACAGAAGTGC